TGAGCTATCTTGCCAGCCCTTAAGCTCCTTCTGCCATTTCCCTTCTTACTCTGAGTACATGCTGTATTTTTAATTATCATAGAGGGGTGGCTAAGATCTTGCTTGAGCTACCCACTTCCCAGCACCTTTCCTACTATTACTTTCATGTTCTCTCCACTCCAGTATATTAGAATGCTGAGAAGTCTTTATTTTGAGTATGTGCTTTCCGAGGGTTTTGAATATTTTACTTGCATGTAAAATATTCTTCTCAAACATAGCTAGATAGCTCATTCCCTTTACTTGAAGTTTTTTTTTGGCAAGTCTACCTTCTTTGTTGATTATTCTACTTAAAGTTGCATTGCTTTTGTTTGCTTTATAGCATTCATCTTTTAACACAGTGCTAATACTTGATTAATTTTGTACCTCATTATCTACCTCCACTAAAATGTATCTTGATGAGCAACAATTTTGACCCTTTTGCTCAACGTTCCTGGCATAATAATAATCAGTAAAAACTATGTCTATAAAAAGTTGTTTAATAAATATCCTTACATTCTGTATTAAGAGAGAAATGAAAACTATAGAGCTTGTACCACATGGACAGGTCACAGGGGACAATGTTGAAGATCCCACAGTTCTTGATTTCAAGTAGTTCATCTTCCCACAGAGAATCTGAGCACGTAATTAGCCATATTAGCATGGTCTGGTGTGACTGAGGCATGGACATGGTAACATGGAAACTGGGACAAACACATTCATGCCCCTGTGCGACAGCGAAGACTTCTCAGAGGTAATGACATTTTACCCACACGTTAACAGTCAGTAAAAGATATGGAGGGGTCTGGGGAGATGCCTCAGAGGAATAAGCACTTGACTGGCAAGCACAAGGGCCTGAGTTCAATCCTGAAGGAAAAAAGAAAGAAAAGAAAAGAAATGGAGACTCAGATAAGGAAAATAAATGGCAATTAAACCTTGGCAGAAAGCTTAAAGCAGAACACAGACTGTGGTAATGCTTTCTATTCACTGATGGGACCATGATCCTTGAAATCTGCTAGCACTTTGGGGGAACCCATCACTGAGGGTTGATCCTTGAGTGTCACCAGGTGTCACTGATGACCTGTGGTTGGTCCTTATCCTTACATCAAGTATAGGAACTGGATATTGTTACTACTCCCTCTGGCAATGCTGTAACTGAGAACTTGGAACTTTACAAGGACCCTGTACAAGGCTACCCTGGCTGCAGGTGGTGGTGCCTGAATGTGAATGCGTGTCTGTGGTTCTGCAGCCCCTGGGTCCTGAAGCAGTACTGACATCCTACATAATATTTATTTTTGTGATTTTTTTTTTGAGAGAGAAGGGAAACATTTTCTAACATAGCTCATTGATAAATATTTTTTTCAAAATTCCTATAGTAGCATGTACTTATCATTGGAAAAGGAAAATTTATTTAAAAGTTAGCATATTTATATGATTAGAACTTATCTCATTCATAAATATGCATATTTATTGATATGTATAATGTATAGGCCCTTCAAACAGAAGAGTATGGAAAACATGAATTAAAGCATGATTCTTCAAAGGTTTAAAATCTAATGTTCTTTCACTTAATGGTAGCCTCTCATGCTTCCAAAATATATATGTATAGTTTATATAAAAGGTATATATTATTATAATTTATAAATATGTATGTATATATACATACATATATGCTATATGGAAAAGGGCATATATATCCCATATATGTTAGCAATCATATGATAAATTTATGTGCATATATATTTGAAAGTTCGAAATCTACCTGTTGAACATCGTTGTCCCCAAACTAGGCCTATTAGTCACCAGTATTAGCCACATTCTCCTTGTTTGTTTCAACACATCTAAACATACACACATGCACAGAGGAATGTAAATGTTCCTGATAACCTTTTAACTTTTCCTTTTTATTTAATAATATCACATGGTGTTTAGTATAAGTCAACAAAAATCTTTAAAAAGCTACCCAGTAGCTCGTAACTTAATCACTTCCTTATAGCTGGATGTTCATAATTCTTTGTTTTTCTGCTCTTCAAAGATACTGCAATAAATATCTTATACCCTCAAACTCAGGCATTGATGTTTCATTGTTTTATAAAATGTTTTTGAGAATTGACTTCGTAGATTAAAGGGCATACTTTAAAATGCTAACAGATATTTTGAGAAAACCATGGAAATGTAGCAATTCTTTTTGGGGCAAAATTTGAGACTTTATTGATAAAACTTGACTAGATCTATATTTCATAGCAATAAGTATTTTAAGAACTTCATTAAAGTATTTATGATCATATGTCCAATAAGCCTCAGATATTTAAAGTGCATATTCTTTTCTTTGAAAGTACAGAGTATATTTATCATTAGTAGTACATTCTGAACTAATCCTTTCCAATACTAATTGATTAAATCTAATACTTAGATATGCAGCAAAATAGAGTTAAGTACTGAGAAATTATGCAGCTATCCCATATTATCTGGGTGATTCTAGTTGCTTAGTGAAAATAAGAAAATATGATTTACTTGCATATGTCTGGAAATAAAGAGCTCATAGAGAGCCATTAGAATCATTCAAGAACCTTCCTTTTGTATCTTTCTTTCTCTTTTGTGCAGGGATTCAACTTAGAGCCCATGTGCTAACCACATGCTCTTCGCTGATCAACAGCCCAGACCCAGAATTCAAAATTATAATGCATTTTGTCCATAAAAATCATATGGGAAGTGAATGTATAAATACATTTATCTTTTGACCAGTTATCTGAGGAGGGTAAAGCAGTGGTTTTCAACCGCAGCACTTACTGATATTTGGGGCTTGAAGTTTTGTATTTGTTTACTTTCATGTGCAGTTCTTTAGTAACTTCTCAACCCCTCCCCTAGCTCTAACAATAAGAAGTGTCTCTAGATGGTGGCAGATGTTGTCTGGAGGTCCACATTGCCGCTAGCTGATAATCACTGGGGTAAAGCATGGGCCAATAAGGTTCATGGGTTAAACACAGTGTGCATTATTAATGGTGCTGTAAGTTACTGATATTTGGATGATAAAAATTTAAAAAGAAACAAACATCTAGGCTCTTTGTGCTTTAAGTGAAGTTTATATGACTAGTTGCATTTAATTGTATTATAATTTTGTTAGGCCAGGGAGATAGCTCAGTGACATAAATGCCTGCCTGGCAAGGGCAAGGCCCTGAGTTCTATCCCAGGTACCAAAAACAAACAAACAAGCAAAAAGAAAAAAAGCTATACTTTCATTGATTAACCATTTTTTGCTTTTCTCTTGAAAAAAAGTAGGTGTTCACATTTTTTAGTACATAAAATAAAATGAATAAACAAAAAAGTGAATGACCAGATGTGTGAGCAGTTCTAGCGTGGATGATTGGTGCTAATGTGCCGTGGACAGTGTACAAAGACCATAGCAGAAAAACTGTACAGTAATCCACTTAGTGGTGGGGACTGGTACACACACACAAAGAAGGAATATTGATGGGATTAGACAAGTGAACAAAGGCCAGAATACAAAGGCCATGATCAGCAGCTGGCAACAGTCTCTGGTGTAACAAGAATTATTTAATGAGAAGATAATTCTGGCATTTTGCTAAGTTGTAGAATGGAGGGATAGACTGAGAAAAAGGAGAGAGTTCATAACTACTTTGTCCAAGGATTCTATAATAAAGGCTTAGGTTGATAGAAAGTCTAGGAAAGTTAATGAATACCTCAAGTGGCCTCTTCACAAAACACTTCTCTTCTGAAGACATAGTCTCAAAACCAGTGAAGTAAAACTTTAGTCTTGTCAGACAATACTTTGAAGGTTTTGTTGTACTTCTTAAACTCAACTATTTCTTTAAAACTAGAAAAGAAAAGTGAATATTCTGGAAATACTATGCAAAAAAAAAAAAAAAAGCTGAGCCCCGCCTGCAGGGCTCACTGAGACAGCGATGAAGACTGGGCATGGTGATGCACGCCTGTAATCCCAGCATTTGGGAGGCTGAAAACAGGAAACTCACTCAGAGTCCAATCTATGTAATGAGACCCCATGGACTCTGTCCTAAATATGGAAAGAAAAAAAAAGAAGAATAGTTGAAAAAATGGGAAATTTGAGTTAGAGGGAAAGAAAGGAGAAGAAATAATAGTGTCTTGTGTAAAATGCTGGGTTGTCTTTGTTGTGACAACAGACTCCACTCTACAATCCAAGACAAAGTGTGTCTGTCTCATTAGGCCCCAGAAATGAAGCTAGGACACATGGCAGATCTATTCATTGCTTTACTTATTGTTGCCAGGGGACACAAGGGGTGAGGACCTGCATCTTTATCTGAGCAGAGTGATGGCAGCCAGGGAAGATGGGGACATCATTGTACTTTCATTTTCCATTTCATTCGGTCTTTATACTGATGTCATACCAAGTGTGATAGGGCTTCCTAAAAAGCAGAAGGATAAAAAAATAAGATCAGCTTAAAGGTAACTTTTAAAAAAGAGATTCCCATTTACTATATTCTCTAGCCACCATTGGGCTGGCTCAAGGAAACAGACTCAAAGTGGTTAAGTCTCATCCAGAATCACAAAGCTGGTAATCGTAGAATATGGGTCTCCATTATTCAACAGTGCTTTCACACTTGGAGAAATTACATTTCCCGTGAAAGTCCAGGAAAACTTGAATACTTACTAATATAGCCAGTAAAGGAGACATTCACGTTTTCAAGTAAGGCGATGATAGGGTGGCCTTCAGGGTGACTGAGCCCTCCCCCTTGTAAAATCAGCCCGAAGGCTATAGTTACCAGCAGTTTCTTCACAGACTCAGAAGCCTCTGGTCCCAGCTCATTCACACACTTCCTTAGCCCTTCCACAAGGTGTTCAACAGAAATGCCCAGAGCTTGCAGAAGACGCTTTAATGGGTCCAATAAGGCAAGAACATCCAGAGGCAGCATATTGTCAATAGGAGCGGGCAAAAGGTTGAAGAGGAAGGCAGTAGCTGCAGAGCAAAAGAGAAACCAGGTGAGGCAGGCACAGCCTGGCCCTATGTGCTCGCCGCTTTCCATCTGACCATCCACCAGTACCTCCACCTGACCTCCTTATCTTGATCCCCATGAGAACTTCTGCCTGTGGGCCTTACTTGCTCTTTGTCTTGCTGGAACTCTCTTTCCTAAATAGCTATGACTCTTATTTTTCTCACCTTCATCTTCTTATTAAAATATAGGCTCCACGAGAACAAGGAATTTATATTTTGTTCCCCATTGTACTATATGCTTACTGGTCCAGGCAGGTAGTAAGCAGTCATTAGAAGCTAGTGGTTGACACTAGGAAGAATATATACAATGTGTTAATTATTGAAACTGTCCTACCAGTTTGGTTTGAAACTGTCTCGTTGCTATTTGCTTCTCAATAAATTTATAGAAAAGAAAGAAAGAAAGAAAATAAAGAAAAAAAAATAGCCAAAAAAATAAAAAAGAGAAACTAGTGGTTGAATGAATAAGTAAGCATTTTATATATGACTCTGTCCAGAGCTTTCAGATTGCAGGCAAAAGTGAAAAAGCCTTAATAAATCTCAGTTTATGGATAAGAATGAATCAAATCAAAATCCAAGACAATGCACCACACCAACTAAATTTAATACTACAACTTAACTGACTGCCAACTCTATGGCATTTGCTACAGGTACATAGACAAATGAGACAAAACAAATGCTGTATTCTGAAACCAAACACTGTCTGGTGGACAATACGAATCTGTGAGCCACTCTGCAGCCTACTGTACACCACACAGAGGAAGTTCTATGCAAGCCCAGAGGAAGGGATGACTAAGTAATGTGGGAGAGAGCTCCCAGGATATTCCCAGAGTGTTGGAGAGGTGTCTGGAGGTGGGGGTCAGGGTCACAAGGTAAAGAGAAAGCAGTAGTTTAGAAACAAGATCAACAAAAGATGGTAAGGCTATAACACACACACACACACACACACACACACACACACACACGCCTTCCCCAGACAGACTGGAATGCGGCACTCCAGTGGGCTGTAATCAGGAGCTGATGATACAGTGAGTGAAGCTAAACCCAGTGAGATCAGATTTTGAAAAGTCTTGGGTGCTGTACTGATAACTATGAATAAATTTTCTCCTGAATACAATGGGGAACTATCAAGGCTTTTAAATGGAGAACTGTGTACTTACAACTGGTTTTGGAAAGATAACTTTTATGTAGAAGAATGGGAAGAAAATTGGAAAAATATGTACAATGTATGTACGTACAATAATGAGTGGATATATAAATGAGTACATATGACTATACAAACAGGAACACACGTCCTTCTGCAGTCTAATACTCGCCATAGTTAATTTTCTTTTGAAAACATTTTTATTTTATTATTGAAACTATAAAAATGGAGCCTATCCCGTTCTCCAACTTTTATTTTCTCATGTACTTTCTCTCCAAAATTCTCCCCTAATGAGGAAACACTTATTCCCCTCCACCATCCTTTTTTCTGCCACCTTTGCTCGTATTTGTCCTTAGACACTAAAGAAGAACAGAATGTTCAAAACTGATGATGTTATTCATTCCTCAAAAAAAAATCAATAAAAATTGCAAACCATGTGACCCATGTAAGCGTAGAGAACAACGAGTTTGTCATGACACATCTTCGTTCTTCTTACAGTAGGCATTTTGGCGAGTGTTATTCCTATGTTTGTATGTTCCCAGGGTAAGAGCTCCAAACCTTCCATTCTCTTGTAAGCACCTGCTGTCATGAAGCCTGCTCCTGGTGCACACAAATGTTTCTTCCTTGTACTTACACTGATCTCTTCCAAAGGAATGGCTTGGTTTCTATTCCCCTTCAAGAAGCCAGCTTCTACATCCTTACTTGTAACTGAAACTCCTCACCCCTTGGTACCCCCACAGAGCTCTATCCACAGAGTTCGTTGTTCATTTACAGCAGTGCAGCATTGCAGTAACTTTTGTAAAAGTATTATCTCTCCTAGAAGTCTCCCGGGAACTTGAGGACAGTCTTTCAATTCAGGGTGGCCCTTCAAATCCTTATCTGGATACCACAAATTTGTAGCCCTCTCAATAAGTCTTTTGTGTAAGCAAACACATAAATGTAACTGTTTCAGGACAAGGTGCAGTACCTGGAGATAATAGTAAATGACTCCATATGCTTTTAAAAGTATAAAAGAAAGAAGTTACAAAATAATATTTAACTCAAATTGAGGAAGTCCAATAGCAACCAGTGTCCAACAGTGAAAATACTTCAGTGAGCTTCAATGGAGATTATTAACTTGCTGTGTAGGACACATTAGGGATGGTACTTACATTAGATCTGAGCTTGGATGATGGAGGGATCCATTATAACTTCCAACAATTCTAGTCTTGGTGCTTCCAAAGCTCCTTTTACTACATTGCACCATCAGTGAGGCAGGCTCATCACTTCTATTTTATTAACTAAATAGTAGAGAAATGTTATATGTTCTAGACTACTCACCAGAGTAACTACAGACGCTGATGGTCACCAGCAGGAAGACAGTTGCCAGCTTCATGGCGAGCGAGTGCGATAATCCTCTGGAATTTCTGAAACCCAGAGCATCCAACGAGCCCCTGGCCTTGCTCGCTGTGCAATGTGTGTGCCGCGTTTGCACACATACGTGCATTTATACACCACCCACTGAAGGCCTGAATTTCAGAGCCATCTTTTGAATCACTCTACCAGACAAGAGGATGAAGGTCATATTTCCTCACTGAACAAATTGGAAGGTTTGGAGAATTTTAAACTTTTCCTCATGTTCCCATGAGAAACAAAGCCTTAAGAAAAACATTCTTGAGTACCTCTTTCACAAGTCCCGAGACAGAAACAATAGTGGAAGCAAAAAGCCCTAAGAAGCCCTCTACAGGAAACACATAAAAAAGAATCATTATATTTGCATTAACAGGAGTGTTTTCCTTCAGATTTCTATTTATTCAAGGTGTGGAGAATCGCATTACCTGACGAGCCAGTGCATTGTGAAGAACTTGGGAGGCCACTTCAGCAGAAGGGTTTAACGCTGATTCACCTGCCTATTCAGTGTCATCTAATATGCTACATTCCCCAGATCTCCATTGTATTTTCTAGTGTCCTACAGTTATCTGGGAATCTTCAGACTGTATCTTCTCTGTGTTCTCAATCAGAACAGTATGTAAAGGATCTAAAATTAAAATGCCTTTTTAGAAAAATTAGACACCATGTTCACTGTTTGTGTTATCTAGATGAGTCACATTTAATCTGTGGTGTTGGTCTTCTCATCAAACAGGGGGATATAAATGACATCACTGATCCTACACTGTATATCCCAGGAAAATTTTTTTTGTCAAACCTCACCTCCCCAGTTTGAGTCACCAAAAATAGACATGTTAGAGCTATGCTGGCAACTTACTCCTACACAATGATACTGTATTTGCTGGTCAGCGGAGCAAACAATAGCTACGTCCCTCTCCTGGAGCTGGTACTCAGCCGGGAATCCCAGGAAGACTTCATCGGTAAGCACATATGCCAGAGGTCCTTGAGCCAACTCTTGGATCTTGAATGCAAGGAAGAAGATAAGAAAGAGCCACAAAGGGGAGAAACACATGGCAGAGCTCGTGTGGTCCCGGGAACCAACTCAAGGACCCTTGCCCATATTACGCTGTTGGCTCAGGTCATTCTCAGCACTAAAGAAGAATCTAGAAAATCTTAGTGATCACACCAAAGCACCAGCATTCTGGTGTACAAAGTACAAATCAGGCCTAAATCATCTCCGAGGATATGGTATTTACTCAGATGGGCATGTAACTGCCGACCATTACACTCCAAAACACTGTAAACGCCCACATACTTAAGCAGATATGAACAATAATGTATGTGTGTGTGCACAAGTCACACATACATGCTTAACTAATAAGCAGCCTTGTTGTTACTTATTTTTTCAACAAATATTTATTATCTATTGTGAGGCATGCACTGGGACAGAAATGAAGACCAAAGCAGCAAACAGGAGTATTTCTTGCAATGGATCCATCAAACTAATAGGACAAACAGGCAAATTAATAGGACAAACAGGCAACAAGCAGGTAAACAAAAAAAAAAACCTATGGTAAGTGCCGTGAAGAAGCCAGCGGGCTGCTGTGACAGGAAATAAGTGGGCTGGCCACAGTCTCGTACTGTGAAAGAGATTTCAATTTGGCTACTTGGGTGCTTGCTGTTTCTAAATCATTATCATATCTATGTTTTTTTATTCCATACTTTTGCTGTGTAGTGAGCTTGGGCCATTGCTGACCCAGGGGAGACTGTCCTTCCCAAGGGCTGTGAATTCCCACCATTGTGGACAATGAACCCTGGAGGGCACCTTTTGAGTGCAATCAACCAATGAGAGCCCAGGTCCCCAAACATTTTTTATGGGCTTTCACACTCTGGGTGCTGGTGCCCCCCCAAATGCTCCCCAATAAAGTACTAAACAACTAGCAATAGCCTCTAAACCCAGAGTTAACTGAAATTACTCTAATTGGTTTATTTTCTTTAATCTTAAAATATGTAAGGCTTTAATAACTGTTTTCTTTTTTTTACGTTTTTAAATTTAGCTTTGATTAATACTTTTTATTTTATTTTATTAATTTTATTGAGAAACAAATAGCAATGAGACAGTTTCAAAACTGATTAGTAGGACAGTTTCAATAATTAATACATTGCATATTGTTGTCTTCGTAGTGGTTATTCATAGTACAAGATGCAGACATGATATCCTGTCCAAACACTATTAGTACAACTCTTCTCATTGAATTAAGAGAAAGTAGCTGTATATCTATCCTAACTATTTTGTATATACAGATACAAAATGATCCTTCATTTATATCCCCCTTTTTTGTTTAGTTTTGTCAGAGATGAGTGTGTCATTGCCATTTAAATATGGTACATGTGTGAATTCAGCAAAATATTCCAATATAGTCCAGTGGTCCATAATAGTAGTAGGTTATCCATAGGACTGGCAGTGTCAGAAGGTGTTGAATTTCCTTTTACAGCTCAGCATATTAATATGGCTTTCCTTTTTATACCTCGTTTTTATACTTTTCTGCTAGATAGTTAAGACCAAGATACAGCAAAACCTATACAACAGGAAGTGTAACTTCTGTATCTGACAAGGTCAGTCAAATTCCCTCAGGATTTACCCTGAAACCCTGTTTTCTAATAGGACTAAGTAAGCTGCAGCTTCTGTTTTTGTTCATTGCCTTATTTTTTAAAAAATCTTTTTAGTAGCACATGTCTGACCTGTGTATCATCTGATAAAGTACAGACCAGAAGTCTTCCACAGTCTTGTTGTTGCAATCAATGAATAGGTCAGGCTAATTGGTGGGTGTGAAAGATTAACATCTATTCTAGGGCAGAAATAAGAAAAAGGGGAAATGCAAAAGAAGTGCTGAGGGAGAAAAAGATGGGCTGAGGGAGTAGAGAAGCTAGGCTGCGGGGAGGGGCTGGGGGGGAGGCTCCCTATGGGAGCAAGAGAGCAGTGGTTGTGGACTTGATTGCTGCAAAACTTTTAGGTCTTCTTTGAAAGTCGATCCAGATGGCCCCACATAGTCACAGGCTTGAATGCTGATGGTGTGTCAGGCTCAGCGTGTTCTCATTTCAAAAGACTATAGCAGGTACAGGATGCTTGGTCTCATGTCCAGCACAGGTGTGGCTGCTCAGCCCCCAGCATTAATACATCTCCTCAATTTGTAGGTTGTGCCCCACTGCTCTGGCTGCATTTCTGTGTGCCTGCCTCCCACACAGGCTTACTCTGCTTGCCTGCCACCTGCTTTGGAAACCACAGTGAAGGCCATTGCCAGTATTTCCCCCACTTTCTCTGGCTCCTGATAGACCCCAGGTTGTCTTAGGCTCTCACCCCGCACAGATCTGCAAATATTAAACCATCTTTATGGTAACAGGCACCTGCTGATGTGTTAGCAAGAATAACCACAAGGTTTGTATTATGGCCATCAAACCTTTTCTTGTGCCTTTGCCCCGGTGCTGCTTGTGCTTTTCTTTGTTCATGGTTATTTGTAGTAATGTCTTCTTTCTAAGGTATATTTTCTAAACATCTCAAGGGGAGTTGTTTGTTCACATTTGGATCCTTACAGGCCCAATACAGTGGGTAATAGCATTAGAACTACTCCTTTGCTATCATTTCAATCTCACAGAACCTCTAATGACAAAAGCTTTCACCCCACTTCACCAATGGGAACCCTGGAAATGGAAGCATTATGTTCATTTTCTGCTTTGAATTTTCTTACATTTAAATATTTAGTTAAGATTCATTTCTACTAACCATTTTAAACATATTAATTCACTGAAGAGAAATGTAACCAAAAAGAAAGGAATGTCTGTTTTTAAATTAACTTGGATCTGCTTGAAATGCAATTTTTCCATAAATTGAATTTGTAATTAGGGTGGAAATTCAATTAGCTGTTTAACAGGTATTTATTGAGGTGTTTAGTGTGTTCTGCTCTGTTGTAGATTCTGGGATTAGAGCAGGCCTGATTGTCACTTCATTTCAATTATGTTAAAGAAAATTGTCAGAAATGAGTACATATGTCATTCTTTTCCTCATGAGGAAAATGACAGTAATAGAACCACAAATCGAATATAGATGCAAATTGGCGATCAAGAAAAAGAACAAAGTTGGCCTGGTGGTCGTCTGACCCCCTTCCTTCTCACTGAGGGAAGACGGCTCTTCACAGAGAAGCCATTGCCTTCTCCCTTCTTGTTGATCATGGGCATGGTCTGAAGTGGCCCAATCATAAACTCAGGTAAAAACAGTCATGAAATTTACCTTTAGGAATAGACAGGTATACAGTGACTCAGAAGGCACAGCCATCTCATAGAGCTCTGAGAAAAACAAAACAATCGCTTTGTATGTTGGTTGAATCTTGTTGAATGAAAATTAATATCATGCCATTGGGCGCTACCCATCCGCCACTCCTAGGCACTGCGTAGAAATGCAAATGGAATTCAGGCCTGGTGGAGAAAACATACACAGGAAATAAATGATAGGTCACTCGAGACAGTCAAAATGTAGCAGGCCATAGCCTTAACCACTAGGCCACTTTGTCCCACAAAAAGAAATTTAGAAAGGGAGATAAACTGTTCACACACTTTATAGTTTCATGGAGTTCTTGCAAATCAAAGTAGTTTGGGGGTTTTTTTGTTTGTTTGTTTGTTTTTCATTTGCGTATTTGGTATAGGGTTTCACTACGCAGATCAGACTTGTAGTGATCCTCCTGTTTTCAGCCTCCCCAGCACCAGGATGACAGATGTGTGCCACCACTTCTGGACTCAGTCGCAGGCCCAACGCACCCCCAAGGTGTGGGGCAGTGCAGCATTCGGGACCTGGGATCAACCCTGGCCCCTGAGTTTGCCAAAGCAGGCACTTAGCCCACTAAGTGATGAGCTATTTTCCCTGAACCTCTCAAAGTAGTTCTTGAATTTAAAGATTTTGATGAGAAAAACCTAGATGTACAAAGACTTATTTTAGAAAAGAAAAAAATTTTGAAAAGAAAAAATTTTAGAAAAGAAAAAAGAAATCAATTTTGTGGACTGAAAAGAAAGGTGTATGGGACAGCATCTCAGTTTTTTATTTCTAGTCTTTCACTCGCAGAGTCTGTGAGCGCACATGTCAAGCACATTTAGCTTCTAATCAAACAAGTGATGAGTGTTTGGCTGAGTGGGACGGGAAGGCGAGGCTCTACCCCGA